ACCTCTGGGCTGATCAAAGTCAGGGTCTTCTAACTCACACATTGAACCCTGAAACAACCTCTGGGCTGATCAAAGTCAGGGTCTTCTAACTCACAAAGTCTTCTAACTAACATCAAACCCTGAAACAAGCTCTAATCAAAGACATCGGGTCATTTTCGGGTCATTATTGAGAAGGAGTCTATTTTTGCACTGAGAAAATGGGATTTGATATTGTCCGGTGAGACTTGGATTCAGTATGTGGAAAAGATTCGCTAAAATAGGGGCGGGTCCATTTTATTGTGCCAGAGAAACGGTATACAAATGCGCAAAATGCCTAAAGTTGCACCAAGTCACACTCACTAATAACTAACCGTGGGGTGGTTTGAGAACAACGTCTAGAAACAGTCCTTGTGTTGACTGTTTGATTCTATTGGCAACCATGCAGTTGTATGTCAGATAAGTCCACCCTTCACCCTTCGGGCCTTTTGTAAGCGTTTTGTGATGGACAAAAAAAGAGTCATAAAAACTGAAAACTTTCTTCACAATATATGTCGAATCTTTGGAGATCTTAGGATATATATATTTGGCAGTTGGCATAAGTGCACAATTTACGATTGCTAACGTTTCAAAATTCTAAACTGGAGCCCCCCCCAGCTTATTGTAAATCTAAAGTTAGGACAAACAGAGATGCATGATCTTCATAATCGTTGCAGATCAGGTCCGATCTGCTCTGATCTAATAACACTGTTTTCATAGATCGTTTTCAAGTACTAAGATTATTTTTACACCACTCGATAAATCTGATAATCCTCTTTGTTATATATGCCTTTTGTACTGTGTAAATATGAGAAAAAATACTAGCCTGTGATTGGTGGAAGACCTGATTACTCAGTAAGACGTCTTTGACACTTTGATGTCAAAAAAATATGTTAATAAGTTAATCCAGTTGAATATAATATCCTTGCATGGTAACCACGAAGTTTCAAGAGGACGCGGTAATGATGTAGTTTATGCAGTAGAATGGCTTTCCTAGCTCTTTGTTGGCTTTCGAAACCCATTTCGGGTATCGGACGTGCACTGCAATGGTTTTCCGACATGTAAATGGTTTGGTTTAAGCATTTACAAAGACTTCACAAATGAACAGTCCGGACGATAAGATGCTCTCGGTGCTAAGCCGTGGCTATGGCACTTGGGACGGCATAGCTAAAGGAGAACCTGTAGAAATAGATAATGTAAGTATTTGGGGTTTTTATAATGGTTTATAGTTTTTTGCTTTGTACTTGGTCTGCTTGCCCCGAAGGACACTTGGTTTGTTTATGGAAAGAAGGTACGCTTGACTTCCCCAATCACTCATTGTCTACTTCCATACAAATCCTTAATGAGGTCGAATTTCCAGGCTTTTATTCCCTCGATATTCCAAATCTTAGCTTATATATACATATATAACTTTTGAAAACAAACATTTATGGATTGTCATTTATACGCTGAAATATTACTAGTATTACAGAGCTGGTTTGTGCTTTCCTTTACCTTCGAAGTTTGACCTCATGGCGACCTTGACAACTAACACCAAGCCACGTAGCAACAAAGTATTTTCATCCAAACCAAAACAAACTCGCTCAAAACCAAAACCTTCTTAAATCCATTAAAAACATATCCGTTTTTTTGTACCAAAAATCTTTAGAATATAATAAGAAAAAATAACATATCAGAATTTCGTTTGTAAAAAATAGTTGTGTTGTGTTGAATTACACGCTCTCTCGTCTCAAATTTTACACCTAGATAAATCATTTAAACCTGCGTAAATGATTATCTTTAGGGATTCAAGCCTAAAAATACTTGGTTCCATTACATTTTGGATTATGGTTTTAATATTTCATTTGCTTCACGAATTTAGCAATTTCTCAAATGATGTTTTTTTACAGACGTCATATAAGAATGCAATGTCATCGAGATAATAGCGATTTTCCTTTCATTTTTCCAGAATATAATTTATACAATTTCAAATGACAATTTCAAAATATGTTCATCTTTCACTCCAGCATATTCGATTGCCATATTACTTCCATCTGATGTTTTTTTGTTTTCAAAATCTGTACATCTTTCAGTCCATTCGAATTTGATTCGATTGCCATATTGTTTTCGACTAGAAAAGAAAATTTTCCATCCTCGAACACCTGTATGCCGACATGCTGACGTGAGTCCAATGATCCAAAGAGTTTTATCTCAGCTGATCAGTAAACAACAGTATGACTTCATCCCCTTGTTTGAATCTACTTTTGTATATGAGCAGGAAGGATGTTCACAACATGATCTCATTGGTTGGGTTTTTAGTAAACTGTTCTATTAAGTTATAGATATTATCATTAATTTGAAATTTTCAAATTTGGTGTTTGAAAAATCATTTTAATGTACATAACATGCACACTGTATAGCAACATAGTTGTGATAATCTTTTATTATTGTCTTATTAATTTTTCAGGAAAAAACAAAACCCTTATTAGTTTTACAATAAACGTTTCGGCAGTAACATCTGAAAATACTTACTGCACTGCAATTCTCTAGACCATTTGGAAATATTATTTTTATCCAGCTTATTGTCATCATCTTCATCATCATGATTAGTATATGTAATAGGACTCCATGCTGTCCAATTAAGAAATAACTGGACGAGGAAAATTCCGAGGACTGACAAAATTGGATGAGGCCATAGGCCAAGCCAATTTGGCAGTCAGAGGAATTTTTTGGGTCTAATTATTTCTTGATTGGGGAGCATAAAACCCCATTACCTATTAATTATAAAGCTGCCTAATTAATCCCATATCAACAAGACCTGTCCAATTAAGAAAATAATTGGACAGTTACCTATATACGATTAATGAGAAGCTGTACAATTATTAATATTATTATTAGTTATTATTAACAACCTTACCACCAAGACAATAATTATTGCCATTGTCGCCATCCCCATTATCATCATCATCATCATCATCATCCTTATCATAATCAATGTTGAATAGATCTTTCCTAAGATAGTGAAGATTATTTTGTGTGCATTGTAGTCAGCTTCTGCATATATTTATTTTATTTATCATGCCTTATATGTTGTTCTTTCTACCCAAGCTAGACCAGCACAATCATTGATACTGTTATGATTATTGTTTATTGTTACCCTTTTACAACTTTAAATTGCAGTCATCATTATCATCAGCATTATCATACTTAAATAATTCTAAAACACTTGCTATTATTATTATTATTATTATTATTATTATTATTATTATTATTATTATTATTATTATTATTATTATTATTATTATAGGACATATTCTCCATCGATGATCTACGGCTACCTCCCATCGCCAATGCTTATCAAACAATAGAACGCTCCAACCTAAACTACAAAAAGACCTTTGACACCAAACCTTTTCAACTTCCAAATGTAAAAACAAAAGAATCAGGTTGTCACTCTATGCCTAAGACTTATACGACCAGGAAAGGTGCATTACTTCTATATGCCGAGGACTACTTTCTCCCTGGTTCACCTAAAGCTAAAAAGAGAAGAAGAAAAATCAAGCGACAATCTTCTGTTAAACTCAAAACACTGACAGACTTGAGGGATTTTATACTCAATTATAAGAGAAATGGGGTAAGCTACATGCATCTTACTACCAGTTTGCCTTGTCATAGCCTGATTTGCAGACTCGATTTTTTTAAGCTCGGTGATCTCTCCAAAAAAAATTTTTTTTGTAATCGAGTCTGCAAAGCAGGCAAGGCTTATCATAGATTTTTTTCTAATTCGTATGTTTTTGTTTGGTGAATGACCTATAAATTATATAATGCAGTGTCGGTATAGGGCAAAGCATTTTGAATGAATGAATGAATGAACGAACGAATCAGAATGAATGAACAAATCAGAATAAAAGAAATGAATGGATGGATAAATGAATGAGCAATATTATTCTCAAATGCAATCAAATACGCCAAAAGTAATATACACATTTGTCAGACAAGATATCTTTAGTACCATATTGCTATTAACCATCCCACCTTTATCGTTCCAGGGAGATCCATTATTTTTAGCATTACTTCAAAAACGAATCAACAGCTCTTACGACAACAATGTTCGTCCTGGGTACTCCCCTAAGCGCTACATCGCAACCCTTGGACGTTCCATGCGGGAAGAATCATGGAATAAACTGGCATCGTCTGGATCCTTCAAAGACCCTGCCCTCCAGACGTACAATCCGTTCCTACCGTCCATCCACAAAGATGGCTCCGTGTGTGAGCTATTCCCTAACAAACCTCAACCCTATAGTACTATGTCTTTACCTCCTATATCACCGTCTAGTTCTATGCTTGGTAGTACGTTTAATTTCTATAATAATGGGATGTCGACTGGAGCAGCTTCCTTGATATCAATGAACAGTGAAGAATATGCTCCTTCGTCTAGAGCGATTAGTCCAGCTGAATCACTAAACGAGAGATTATCAGAGGTTGAACCAGTCAGGCCAAAACAAGACCGCAGATACGCGCTACTTGATTCCAAGCAGAAAGAAGATCTGCTGTCACAAATGCTTGTGAAAAGGACCCTGGAAACCATGGACTCGGATCTACAAAACTGGCCCTCAAGTTTTAGCAAAGAAGACACTTATGCAACTGAAAAAGAGCCGAGTATTTCTGCTATCAATACGAGTAAAAAGAAATCCAGTAAAGGCAGTTTGAAATCTTCCTCACTAACATCAATATCCCGGCTTCCACCCATACAGTCTGCTGGAGCTCGTCCATCCACACCCGAAGAACTCTATGCTCAAGATTCTTACGCAACGAATGACGAAAGCGGGTTGAGGAACCAATCAGAATCCAAGGTCGGACGTGAAAGTGAGGCAGGTTCAGAAGCACGTGATAGTGAGCGTTTTTCTGTAATTAGTGATCAGGAAGAGTCACGTGATGTGGCTGATTTGAGTAACGTAGAAGTGAACCTGTCAGATGAAAGTAGCCAATGGGGAGACGCGCTCGCTCAAGTGATTGATGTCAATGTGGAGTCGGGTATGTAAAGGGTTCCCGATTTTTTCCAGGGGGGGGGGGGGTACCTTACCTTTCCCACACATACCAAGACCGCTTTACCGCATGTCATACTGTGTACGTCTACCATGTCCACCATGATTATTTCACATTTTGTATAATTAAGCTTGTGTATTAATTGTAACTTTCTGATTGAACTGACAGAAGACAGCCAAGACGAGGAAGATAAGAAAGTCATGGAATTAGTTAGAAGTCTTCATGGTTCTATTGACGAAGACCAAGAAGAAGTTGACATGAAACTACATGAAGACGTTGACAAGAGATCAGAGGATAGCGTCGATCTTAACGATGTGCAAATTGTTAGTGAACTAGAAGAAAAGATGCTTCCTGAAAACCAAGAGCAAGGCGGAGAGAAAGGAGGGGTTCAGAATGAGAAGCGGGCAGAAGCAGAAGGCGAGGCGCAGGCAATAAAAAAGGAGTTAAGTCAACCATCTGAAGGGAGCCTTTCGATACCGCAAAGAGATGAAGCAACTGGCCAAGACAGTGAGAAATTGAACGAGAACGTTGATCAGGAAGAAGGGTCAAGGGGAAGCAAAGTTGATGCTGGTAAGAGCGATATAAACTAATATATTACAGATTACTTTTTTTGTTCAAATACTGAGTGCAATACTCCTTTTTCTTGTCTCCCTTCTTATCTACGGGGCCCCCACCCTTAATTCTCCAAAAACGAAGAACCGCGATCAGCTAAGATTACGCTTTTACTCAGGCCATGTAGACGTTCTACTAATATTGATTTGTAGAAGCCTTGAACTGTCCCCCCGCTTGATTTGGAAGTGTTGTCCCAGCATCTGTACCGCAACATCCATATGTTTGAGTCCACGGTTCGCTAGCGAAGCCAACATAAGCATATTCCAAATCAGAAAGTGCTTTAAGTTGACTGAATTTTTTTCTGCCCAAATGAATTAGGGTGCCATACACAGAGCTAACTGTGAAAGACTTTTTTCACGCTTGCATTTGAACCCAGCCAGGATCACAGGCGACTTCGACTCGTCTTCGTCTCGCTTTTTTTCGCTTGCTTCGCTCTTGTCTCTGTGAATCTCATGATCAAGGAGGGAGGCTTGGAGCAAGTCTACGCTTGCCTATGTAATTATTTTCATGCCTCGCGTCTAGTAATATTCCTTAATTCGGTTAATTCCACTTCATGAGTCCTCTATGAAATGATGAATCTAAATTCTATTTCATTTCTTTTACCAGGATCAGTCCACTCCAGAAGTACCACCTCCCTGTCTATCATTGAAGACCAAGGACCGTCACCTGAACCACCTCCACCAATCACCTTCGAGCAACTTCATGACGAGGCTCGTGCCGTTGCGTCACGTATTCTTAGTCGACCCCAGTCTGGCGCGGTGTTTATGGAAGACGCACGTGCTGCGTTGGCGATGTGGGCCGACAGATTATCTACGCTGTTAGATCCCCCAGGAAAAGGTTAGTTTTTGTCCACACTATTACACATATGATGCGCCTCCCCCAGTTCCTTATTATACACTAGTTCTCAGACATTTGTAAATAGATTTGATGTCTGAACCCTTGACCACTTGTGAGTACATAGAGTTACTTGTTGGTTCCCGGTTTTTCTGCCTTCTCTATTATATTCACTCTATCTCTCGTTAAATTTTTGAGTTTTTTCAATCCTATCACCTTGCAGATGTGCGAACAAGCTCAGCTTACAACAGGAAGAATATCCAACCCATTACGAATGGTGCAGGTCTTCAAGGTGTTGCTGGACGTAAAAGGAAAAGCAGTTATTCTGCTGGACCGTCGCTTGCCGCTCTAAGGCAGGCTCTCATGATATCAGGAGGTATGTCAGTACTACCTTTGCCTCCACAGGGAGCCCAATATAGATGGCGGCCATTCTCAATCATTACCCAAAGAAGCCCGCTTTTGCTTTTAATAAATTTTCCGAAATTATATTATCTGTTGCTCATAATTTCCTTCCTTATTTTTGGTGATAAGAATATTTTTTTGCATCCTTTAGGTGAACTACCTGGTATCGAGTCCTTGAAGAATCTACCACCGATCCGTGTACCTCACTCATCGAAGCCTGCAAGCAAACACAGTAGCGGTATATCTGTTGGACGTGAGTCCTATCACGAGTCTTGTAAGTGAATTATAATTAACGTCATTGTTTTAAATTTCTATTTTCATTATTATTAATTTTTATGTGTACGACAAAAACTTGGTCATTCCAGAAACACCCAACAGCTATGAGCAATCCCAGAGTTTGTTTAAGGCTCGATCTTAGCCCTGGAAGCATGTGAAGGCGCCTTTGGCAGCCGCCATACAATCCTTGGATGACACCGAGTGCTCTGTAGTTTTTCCTTTTATTTAGTATTTTCATTTTTTATTTCCTTCAGTTTTTGTTTCCACTGTCTTTATGACTTCACCTTTTATCAGAAGTACTTTCTATACCAGAAGAGGTCCATAGTTATGGATACTTTGATTCATGTAGCTAAGCATTGATTTCGTTTGTTACAGTAAAAGACGAAGAGACGAGGTCACTCAGGGCTGGAGGATCTTCTACTCACGCACCATCAGTTCTAACAGAAAGAATTTCCAACTCGGATCTGCAGATGGAGATGTTCAATCTGCTATCAAGTGATGAACTGGATTACCACATGGACCGAGCCCCAACAGCACAAGGAGACGAATCAGATGACGAGCAGTTCCGTGCAGCTCTCCAAGCTGTTGTGACCGACTTAAGAGACAATGTCAGGTCTGATAGTAGTAAAAAGACTTTCAAAGTCAAACCTGACACGGTTTCTAAGGAAGGGAAAAAGAAGGTAAAGTCACCGCCATTTCAGGTCAAGAGACCTGCCGAGGAGAAAGCTCCCCCTGGGTTGCAAAATAAACAAGCTGTAGAGACGAGAGGGAAAGGAAAGGCAGCTAAGAAACCAGCAGGTAAAAAGGACAGCAAAAAGCCAGCCAAGAAAGGAGCGAAGACAACGAAAACTGCGCCAAAAGAAAGCAAGGAGGAGGATTTGAAAGATGAAGTAAAACAAGAAGAAAAGCCAAAAGACAAGTCTCCTGATCTGAAGTCCGTTGGAGAGGAAGCAACGGAGAGAACTGAGCTTGTGGCCGATAAATCACCTGAAACTAGTATACGAGCTTCCTCAGAAACAAGTAAACGTTTGGAAGACTTTTCCATTGCTTCTCCTACATCAGACTACGAGTCGAGAGCGGCTTCCTCGAAGAGGTCAGATTCTAGCGTTGGCAAGGAAAGCAAGTCACCTAGTGTTTATAGTGTTCGTAGCACCTCCACAACAGCCGTTTTTGAGCAACCTAGACTTGTTCCAAAGCCCCCTGAACCTAAACCAGTGCCCGAGGTAGATGAAGAAAAAGCGAGGAAGGAACAAGAAGCACGTGAAGCTGAACTCTCAAAGAAGAGAGAAAAGGAAGCTCGAGCGGCAAAAAGAGCAGAAGAAAGAGCAGCCGCGGCTGAAAGACGACGACAGGAAGTCGAACGAAAAAGGCGGGAAAAAGAAGAGGCTAAACGGAAGCAGATAGAAGAGGAAGCACGATTAGAAAGGCTGAGACAGGAAGCGGAAGAGGAAATGCAAAGAAGAGAACTAGAAATGAAGTATGTCAAATTTTATTTTTTGACTAAACTGATTCTTATACTCTGGGCGTAAGATATATGGCATCTCCCCGTTACTAATGTCTCGGCGCAAACTTTATACGTATCAGTATTTCATTATTTCGATGTACAGTGGCGTAAAATAGGTTTTCATTTTTGCCTAGAAAGGTTGATGGAATTTCTAACGAATGTTCATGTTGGACAAGCAGAAATGCTATATGTGTGACTAACCTATTTCAAAATATTTATTTGATTAACTTATAATTATTAATCTGATGGAGTTCGTGTGGATTTGGCGGGAAAACTTTAAGACTGCTTTAAGACTTGCTACGTGGCGCCGGCCTTTTGTGTGTCAACGTGGTTTTGAAATAATACCTTTTATAACAAGATTAGCTCAGTGTTCAAGCTAAATTAAGTTATCATTTTATCAATTCATAGGTCTTTATAGTCTGAATGTTCTAATATCAGAATAATTTATTGAATAATACTTTTTTTCGCAGGAAAAAGCGGGATGAAAAGGAAGCGGAAAAAAGAAGAAAAGAGGAAGAGGAGCTGAGAAAGGAACGAGAAGAACGCACAAAACTTGAAAGAGAGAAAAGAATGCGGGAAGAATTTGAACGCAAGAAACAAGAAGTTATAGCACAAAGAAAGCTAGAGGAAGAGATAAGAAAAGAGCAAGAAAAAATGGAAGCAGAGCTAGCAGAAGCCGCCCGCAGAGAAGAAGAAGAACGACTGCAAGCGATGGAAGAATCAGAAAGAATTGCCTTCCAAGAAAAAATGAGACGAGAAGAAGAAGAACTTAGAAAACGACTAGAAGCAGAGAAAAGAATAATGGAAGAACAACGCAGGATTCAAGAGGAACAAAGACGAATGCGTGAAGAAGCGATAGCTCTATTAAGACAGAAAAGATTACAAAGACAATTATTTATTACTGGTGTCATACGTGAAGGCTTATACCTTAGTCTAAGTCAGAGACTTTCAAGGGCTTTTACGTTCTCATACTTTGACAATTTACCTTGGTCGTTTCTAAATAATCTGCGAGCTCTTTCGCCTTTGAAGGACCAGATTGTGGAACTGAAGAAAACTATACCACCGACTATCTACGAAATAGACGAAGGAGATGAAGAAGAAAATTAAGAAAAATCTAGCTTTCTATTCAAATGAAAATGTCAAATCAAAAACTAGTGTGTGTATAAAATTGAAGCGAATCGCATTGGTTCGAGACTGCATGTATGAAGTACAAGCAAAAAGTACGTAATTGCAATTCTTCCGTTTCCCCCGGAGATAGATTGATAGAGGTGGTTACGGGTAAAGCCGGCTTACAGGGATCTAGCAATGTGTATGGGGCCAGCAACCCCATCACATATTACTTATTGCAACGGAAACTAAGATACGGACACACGATGCAACATTGCACTCAACGTTGCGAGCCATGACACACGACGCAATTTGTTGCACGCAACGTTGCTGAAGTAGAAAACCATCCTATTTCAGCAACCTTGCCTGCAATGTTGCGCGCAATGTTGCACCGTGTGTCCGTGCCGGCTTAACACAAAGGATAACCATAAGAAGTCATTTGTGTCAGCCCTACGTGCCACACAGACATAGAGGATAATGATGAATAGATTGGTAGAGTATTCAGTTGAATTCCTATTTAATTTCTGAGGCATTTATACATTAACAACTTATGATTCCATTTGACAGAAATGAGTGAGAAGGTAGGGCACTTAGCTTATTTGTCGCATGCGTACAGCAGTCATATAGCACTTATGCAGGTCACCTGAACATTGAGTGTTTTGTTTCTTTTTTGTTTGGCTTTCATTTTAAAGATGCTTGAATACATAAAAATATCAATGTTTTTGCTCATAATTGCCACTCCAGTATTTTAACCCTTGTATGGTTCTCCTCCTCCTGTCTACACAAACGCGTACCGTTCCCGTGCGACAAACTAGTGTTCATGCTTCCACTCAAATTCTGTCAAGAGCAAGAAAAACTGCCGACAGTTATGGGCAGGGCAGCAGAGTTTATATACCGATAAGCTATCAGGCGAATTTTAATTTTATTTAGAGATATATATTATCTAGTTTATCCCAAGAGGGAGCTCAATAGAAATTGTAAGTGTTTTTAAAAGGTTGAAATTATAGAACTATTTTACATGTAAACCCCTGAATTTCTCTGGCTATTATAAATTTCGAAATATGACGCGAGCGCTGATTGACTGACTACCGTTTTATATAAGGGGATAGGCACACACTCGCGCAAAATCGTTCAAAAATATTTGATAAAAGCAATATATGAAACAGCTGCTTATGTCTCTATACTGTGACTTTCATAGTGGGTCAGAGTGACATTGTCTAGAGTAGGATTAATAATAATAATTTATTCTATTTTAATGTATTCCATCTGAAATAATATACTATCTACATGTAGAGAGTTAATGAGCCTGAAGCGAGATCATGACGTTTTACCCCCGTCTCTAGACCATAATCCTTTTCATATTGCTTTTGTTCTTTAATTATCACTATTGTTCCTGTATTCTCTAAGGAATCCAAAATTTCAATATGAAAGAATTTTAAAAACTATTATGGCATAGAGTCGGGGGTAAAACGTCATCTCGCTTCAGGCTTATTACCGTATATTTACTTTTTATTTCAAATTAACGAGACCCACAATGCCCTTTGGTCTTGGAATGCACTATTCAGTATTCAGTATTCAACCTATTTGTTTTTGAAATAGCTGTATATCTTTTAACCAGACTGAATCAATTTATCAATGGGATGTGATAGTTGGGTGTGGTTGAATAGTGGTGGGTGGGGCACCAAAGGGTGATGCTTTGAACCTTGCATGTGACATTCACTTGCAGCTGTATTATCAAAATAAAGAACTATGAATAGAATCAAAGATTCCATGAAATAGATGCGTTAGACTGGATCGAGCCATTACACAATAGATGTGTTGAATAAGATTATAGATTTATTATACCATCCACTTTGAAATTGATGAATAAAAAATATATGGGTTATTAAATTAATCCAAGTATTGCGTATGATGCATACAGAAGGAAATGTGTGCGGAGACAGAAAACTCGGATATTATATTATGAAATATTATATTATGTTATAAAATATTGCATATGAATGGAAAATAAGTATAGGAAATCGCACGATCTCGATGGAAATTAATAGACACGAGTAATGTTTTGAAAGTTCTTGTAATTGCACGAGCCTTTAGGCGAGTGCAATTAAGGAATTTTCAAAACATTACGAGTGTCTATTAATTCCAAATTGTACGAGAAGATCGTGCGATTTTTTGTTTATAGTTCACTCAACAAAATTTCAGTAAAAAATGCGAAGCGACGCCGTTCATCTTTGTCTATTTGGCGGCCGATTTTCAGCTCATCGCGCAACTGAAATGCATAAAAAATATTAGTTCTTATGGCTTAAAATTTTATTTATATGTTTTTTAAGTACAAAATGATAGAAAATAATTGTTTTGACATTGTTTTGTCCGTGTTGCCATAGCGACTTAATTCGGTACTCCTACGGAGTACAATTAACGCTATAATTGTACTCCTCTCGACCAATCAGAGTCGAGTAATTTTGTTGAGTGTACTATAAGCGATTAAACGAGGGAAAGTAAGAAACAGAAAGAAAGATTAGGTCCCATGCATTATAGCCTCATTTACAACCACTACCAGAATCCCTAGCACACTTTCTTTTGCTTAATTAATTAGCACCAATTAATTGTCTTATTATTCTCTTGAAGAAATGAAAATTCGAATAAGAAAGAAAATAATTCGCGAAGCATTTTGGTAGTGGCAGTAAAATGACGCCATCTTGCAAACGACAGAAAGAAAAAGAGATGGCAATTTTGTGTGATGGGTTTCCTGTGTAATGTTCCCATAGTCCCCTGGTGGAGTGTTGCGAGAGGGAATACCCTTAAACAGGACAAGAAGGTATGAACTAGAAAACTCTTTCTAGCTTCAATTCATCTGGAATCCCGCTGCATTTCCTTGCCAAAATGAACGAATTCCGTGTATTACTCCTCGATATTGCCCAGCATCTACGAAAAGATGATTTAGAGCACCTTAAGTTTGCTTGCAGTACATTTATTCCTGCCGGAAGAGCAGAGTTTATTTCTCGACCACACGAATTATTCTTGGAATTGGAGAAGATGGGCAAACTAAGTGAGAGTGACCGAGAATTTCTGGCAGTTATCCTCGTCAAAATCGGCAGGAATGACTTAAGAAATAAACTCCTTGGGATCCCAGGTAAGGTTTACTCTTAATAGTGAATAGTCAGCTATTTATCAGTATGGTATTTTGACATAAACTTATTTCTGCGAATGTAATTAGCAATTTGAATTATAATTTGTCATAACTCTCATAGAATTGTACAATTAACCAAACTCGAAAAATAAAAAGAATAATAAGTCTAAATATTCGAATGATGAAACCATTAATGGAACCTAGGGGAGTAAGCCGTTTTGACTGTAATACTTGTGAGCTAACACATTTTGACACTACAGATATTGGACAGACACTGGAAAGAATGCAGTCTAAATATGCATCAGTCATTTACATAGAATCCTCAATCACCTGACACCATTAAAACTTTTGCTGGAAATTCACCCTTAGCATTGCCATATTGCAGACAGAGAATATGAGAAGAGTAACAAGGCTCTCTCTCTTTTCTGTCTTCGGCAGTTTTTACTTTTGCTCTTGGACAGTTAGGAGCTCACCCTTCCCTGCTCCCCCAGACATATAGTAAATCACCCAGTCATGTTTGAAGGGGAGGGGTTAGGGGAAAGTATTCTGTATTCTAGCTGATTCAACCGTAAAGTATACAGTAAAAACCCGCACATAAGAACCTGTTAGCCTCAAATTTGTCATTTATACCCCCTTTAAACAAGAACCTATTTAGCCTAGAAAATGAAAAACAGGTTCTTATTTCAAAAATCATCATTTAGTGATGCAGAGCTAGGTAAGAATCCTGTTTGGAAAAATAGGGGCTTGCCATTGCCGTGCAGATAAATCAATTAATGTAATAAAAATGTAAAGTGAAGGAAGGTTGATATTAATTGTATTGCATTAGAATGATTTTCACATGACCGTGAAAGAAAATAGACCATTTAGTTTGTAATAGTTGATAAAGAACAAAAGAAAATCATTGGTTTAGAGTCTACTACTAACTATTAGTTTGCCTATTCTTTCACGATCATATGAAAATCACTCTATGAAAAAAAAACTGTACAGCAATAAGTCAGCATGTGAAATATAATGTACAGTAATCTACAGTGTGAGTACATGAGTACATTTATTTGTTTTTACACAGAAATGAGAACCTATTTAAGAACCTAGATAGCCTAAAATTGTGTTAACTACCATTTAAACAAGAACCTGTTGAGGCTAACTCTAAGAAATGTGGATTTTTACTCCCAGGTTTTTATTGTAACCTTACTTTTTGATTTAATACCCTGAATAAGAGAACAGATTCTTCCTTGATTTTTACTGATTTTTCTATAGTTATTAAACCAACAATTTGGATTGTTTTATTTTTATATTTTTAGAAAGACCACTGTATGAAGAACGACCACATACTCGTAAGTATTGTAATTTTGAAAGTGAATCAACATCCATTATTTTAAAGAGGGTTATGAAGATGTATCAACCACAAAATGTTATCTACAGTAGATAACATATATATTCAACCCTCTGATTCCAAGATGGATTTAGAATTTAAAATTGTTGATTTTTGGAGAGAGAGAGGGAAATCGGAAGACCTGAAGAACTACTATATTCAAGTCTAAAACTATACTAATTCTTTTTAATGCTTACTTTTTAAAAGAAGCTACAGCCAGAAGACAGCATCAGTTGGAGCCTTTCAAACAAAGAGTCTCAACAGAGATTATCTTGGAAATTGCTGAAAAAACTAGCACCAGTTGGAAGTTTTTAGGCCGGCACCTCAAGGTACCAGAGCACACTTTAAGTAATATTGATGACACATATAAAARAACAGAGGAAAAAGGATATGCAATGCTGAAGAAATGGTCTGAAACCAGTGCGACACCTACAGTACTTGTTCTCTTGAGGGCACTAGATAAGTGTGGGAGAAGAGATCTTGCGGAGATCATTGAAGGTTAGAATTGAAATAATTAAAAAAAATTTTTTTTTAATTAATTAAAAAATATCTAATTTTTTTACAGTTTGGCCAACAGATATTAATAGACAAAAATTACAAACAAATAATAATTGGATTTCGCATTGGCATTTGTACAGAGTAGCTGTTCGTTGATTGAAATCCAATTGGAATTTGAGGTTGAATTTTGCCGAGGGAGGTAAAACCAGAGAACCTTTAAAAAACCTTCAAAGCACAGGAGAAAACTAATAAGCAACTCTACTCATATGATGGTGATTCTGGGAATCATACCTGGGTCACATTGGTGAGAGGTGAGCGCTCTCACAGCTACTCACATACCACGCGCATTCCAGGAATCGGTATCCGGTCTTTTCGCTACCTTGCACTTTCGCTACTTACTTAAAAGGTCAATTCGCTACTTAAAGTGCATATCAGGGTTCGCTGTTTTTTGTTTAATATGATAGTTTTAACCCTTAAGATCATATAATCACTAAAAATTATTTGATTATGTTGCGATTTTTTTTTTTTTTTTCGATCAAAGCTCCCAAAAAACAGCAAATTGCTGAGCGACGTGGAGGCCTGGGACTAGTCGGCCGTGACGTCATTTACGGGACTCGTGTGTTCAAAGCACTTGAGAAGCATAAGAAAACAAATTGCATCGCTTGAATACTGTAGTCGTATAAACCTTTTATTCCACGTCAATTCTTTCTGATTGTAGTAGTGAATACTCTGAAAAGTTGCAACTATTCTGATTTTAATGAAGAAAGTAGATATTTGCTAGAAACCGACTACGAAACAAACCCAAGATGGCGATTACATCCAGGCTTTAGACCTGTTTAGGACTATGGTCTTTGCGACTGCCTGCTGGGAAAAAAAGAGGGGCAGAAAATAAGAAAAAAGCATCCAAGAAACGGTAAGCAAAAATTCGTCGCCGAGTTTTATCGACATCACACGATAAATCTGTCTTGTTATGTTTTCGGTACCCATGAAAATACATTCTAACTTTGGTCTCTTTTTACTTTTCAACAGATTTCTAAGCGTAGAAAGTTTACCCATTTGGTACATGGTTATCTAGATAGAAAAATAATTCCTTTGCTAGCATTATATTATTCCCCAAACATTCAGAGAAGACGAAGACGAATATTTAACATAGGTAATTATAATATTAAATAGTGTGTACGAATATTAGAGTGTGCAGTATAGATGCACATTTTAAGAATTGCAGATTCCAAGATTTGTACTAGCTGTATTGAAATTATTTACATGGTAATGCACTAATTTGAAGAGCTGTTTTTGGGGCAATCCAAGGCATTTTTGTGCCCCTTCATTGGTTTCTTGCAAGCTGAGCAGCAAGGATTGCGTCTTGCCCCTGTTTGACGTGGTTCTGCTACAGGTGTTGTTTCTGAAAAGAAAGGGAGCAGAACCTTCGTTTTAGACATTGGGTTTG